TGTCACATGGGTCACACTAGTGGAAATTCTGGATTTTTAAAAATATTTCCTTGCAGAATTAAGAACTTAATTCTTGTATACTATTAAAACATGGATTAATAGCTGAAATTTTATGCTATTCTAATTGGTATAACATGAACAAAAAGTAGTTTAATAAAATTTTGAATGCAAGACACTAAAACATTATGTCATGCGCAGTAAAGGGTACCTGGGGCGACAGGGTTAACACAGTAATTTATTGTTATTTTTTTGCATCACAAATAAAAATTTTTATTCAGTGATAGATCATCATGTCTAAGAATGTGTTTCATGAATCCTACCTTATTTGAGAACAAAGACTAGCCAGAAAAACAGTTCAATAAAGCTTTAACATGGGTAAAAATTTTTTCTCAGATTGAAATAAAAAGAATAAGTTTTACTTTGACAAAATAACCTGCATTTGTTATATATGCTTGAAAAAAAAAAGTGTTTTAACATTAATTTTGTTTGGTGAAATACTGCATAATAGGTTTTCTTTTTCTCGGGGAAATTAAATCATTAAAATTTACTTCTTTGCATTTTATACCTACATTTAACTTAACACATGTACTTTATCAGTTGTGATTTCTTTATTCATTAAGCATGGTGTTTACAGCATGGATATACATAATTTTTTTTATGTATGATAAATATAACTTTGCATTATTTTATCATTGTGATTTAACTGCTTATTTTTACATTCTTGGAAATGTATATTTAATTCTTTTTTTGTTTGTTTGTTATAGCATTGAGATTTCAATAGTTTCTTCAGGTTTGTTGTTGTTTTTTTTCTTGAGAATACTATGTTATAATTTTTTATCTTCAAGTATTTAAATAATTTGTTGTTGTTTTTTTTTCCAAGAAACTTGTACTTAAATTTCGGTGTGAATATTTAAGCAGTATTAAATTTTCGTATATTAAAATGTTTTAATTGGTGATGCAGTATTATCATTAATCCATGTGAAGGTAACCTTATTTTAGGTTCATGTTGAATTTCAACAACAGTGCAATAATATGGACATAGAGAAACTGCTGGAACAGTTTGTCACGTCCAGAGGCACCGGGTCAGACCACCCAGGTTGGTTTTTAGATTTTCATGGCAGGATATTGTCATTGGTTAACCGATAACTTTGTATTCATGGAAAAGTCGACTAACAGCTAAATATTTCCTTTGCTTTTTTTAAGTCTAGAATATATTATTGTACACATTTTTTATATGTATTTTAATGAAAAAGATATGCCCTCTATATAAATTGGGAATTATTAAACTGTGATTTGTAACTTACCAACATGCTGTTTCAAACTTTTTGAAGCAATTACCCTACAGAGATGTGAGTGAACAAACATGACAGTTAAGTAGTGTTAGGCCTACTAGTAGTACTAAAGAGGTGAAGGTACTCAGATGGTACTCAGCTTTGGAATATTTCAGAAAAAAAGAAAAACTTGGGAACTTTTGACATAGCTTATGTGTTTAGCTTAGGAATATTTTTCCTATTTGTTGGAAGACTACTCAGTTTTTTTTAAATAGATTGTTGAATTTTCTGTAAAAGAAAGCTTGCTTGTATTTATAATAAGCACTTATTTAAAATATCATGTGGCATTTCCATTCCAGGAATATAATGCCTCACATTTTATTTATTAGTGGGTTAAAATTGAAATTTGAAAGAGAAACCTGTAATTTTATTTCTGTTAGTTGAATTATTGGCTTTTGTAACTATTAGAATCTTTAGTGAAATGAAAAATATAGGCAACAGGTATTAAATAATCCTATGATTTAAAAAAGTCATAAATTTTTCTCATTCTTAAACATATTTTGCTTATTAAGAAAATACTGAGATTTTTTGTTCTCGTAAATTAAAGGTTTGATTTTATCATGCTACTCTGCTGTTATTGTAAACTAAAAAAAAATATATTTATAATTTATGTATTGGAAATAAATGAAGTATGATTTATTGTATAAAAAACTATCAGCCAACTTCTTAAAACTTTTTTAACCATTTTTGATTTCCATGAAATATATGCTAAGCCAGCTTTTTCTTCACAACTTTTTCATTTTAACTATTTTCTGTAGCACTTCCAAAAAATAGAAGAGGATCATTTAAAGCAAATGAAAGAGTTTTTATCAAATTATGCTCATGTTTTAGAAAGTGGTCACACACTTATAGGGCAGGTAAGTTAAGTATAAATTTTTAGTTACAGTTTAAGAATATATATAAAATTACATTCTCAAACACCCTACTTGCTTCTTCGTGAATATGTTGATGTTCACGACTCAGTAGCAACTGTCAGTCAGAATTAAGCACATTTGAAAAATTATTTTCCAGAATGTTTACTATCATGCTTACAATTGTACTGTTATAAAGTTCAAGATATTAAACTCTCTATGTATATATATATAACTGTAGTTACATTTGTGTGTTTTACTTGTATTTTCACATCTTGTAACGTTGTTTGGTTTATCCCATCAGTCTTTTTGCTGTGAACAATAGATGTTTTGACAGATATTACAATCTTCATGATGACATTAATCTACCTTGTTTTTACTTCCAAAAAATTACACTGGATTGCTAAATTTTTAATCCTAATAAATGAGTGGGTTTTTTTTAATATAAGATTGGTCATTCTAAGAAAAAATCTGCCACTTGTTTTGTTAGTTTTCAGCACCCTTAAATTTTCATTCATAACGATGTGATTTCATGCAGTTTTTGTTGCAAGACAATCCATCACTCAATTTAATTTCCACAAAGCAACAATCACAGTCAAAATACAGTCTGCCCTCGTGTTACGGGCGTTCAGGTTATGGAATTTCACCCATACAGAAATTATAAAGTGTGATCAATAAAATCGGGGTACAGACTGTAAATGCATCCTTACGGAAATTGGGGTAAATATAAAAAAATTTTAAACTAAAAAAACAAAGACCATCAAGTACAAGTGCAAGTGAGCACAGAAAGGTATTACTTTGGATGTGAAACTTGATGTTTCGAGGAGGTTTGATGCCAGAGAGAAACTTAGCTCTAGTGCTAAAACTTTAGGGCTTGCTACTTCTACAGTGGGAAAAATATATGATAATAAAGAAAAACTCAAGGCATGTGCTAAGTAGTTACACCTCTAAGCACTCGTACATTGTATTTTCATAGAAGTGATGCAATGCTTAATATGGAAAGATTCCAGAGTGTGTGCATTGAGGACCAGATCCAAAGTAATGTGCCAGTAAACACGATGGTTATACAAGCTAAGGCAAAAAACTTGTAGGATGATTTGGTGATTGAACAAAGTGGTAGTTCTGAAGAAAAACTCTTCCTGGCAAGTAAAGGGTGGTTTAGGAAGTGCTTTAACAACATAAAACAAGAATTATAAGCCATGCTTACTGAGTGACCTTTAATAAACTAGTAATAGACTAGAAGTGTTCGTAACTTAGCTACTTTCATTTACTAATATTTTACCTCATTAAGTTGTTCATAATCATTTTGTTGTATATATACCTATACACACACACACAAACTTTTTCTAGGATCTTTGCAAACACACATAACACTGAGTGGGAATCAACGAGACATACAGTTATCGTGTTTGTCAGATTACTGTTGTAAATGTTATCCATATACCAATAAAGGCCAAAGTAATAGTCAAACTAGTGTTTTCCTATACAAAACTTTATACTTTTGTATTAGTGCAGTTGAATTCAATATTCTGTTTTGTAAGGCTTTTCAAACTTAAAAATTCAAGTTTTATATTTCCTACATAGACATCAATATTTTACGCCTTTTTTGATCTACTGGCAAATATGTTATAGCTTATTTAGCAATGTCAGAATGACACAAATATAAAATAACTATGTATTCAGCACTGAATATCTGAATGGTTTATGTTTAATGAACTTCTGAACCACTAATGAAAGTACAATTTCCAAAAAATGGCTTGTTAAAGAAAAAATACAAGTAAGAGTAATGACCAAAATATTACTTTGAAAAGTATTTGCAATTTGCACAACAAACAAAGCATGTAATATAACTACTGCAAAAGCTACTTATTACAAACATCATACAATAATACTTTAGAAATATGCTATTAAATAAAGTAATGAAAACCTATTTGTGTATGATGTGCACAAGGGGATGGCTGGGTGAGCTGAAGTCCCTGCTCTTATGCCCCAAAAGTGCCCCTTTTCTCAGTGATATATAAAATTGTCAACTGATTTCACACTTTGCTTGTTGCAAGTTATCAGGAAAGAAAAAAGGGTTTCAGCTTCAAAATACACAAAACACGGGATCTTGTAGGACTTTATAATAAAAAAAATAACTGGGATACTCTACAAAGTGTTAATATGCAAGAACGCAATGTTTAGTTTCAGATCTTAAAATGTTTATGAGACCAACTTTTTTACCTTATGTGTACCAGAGATGAGTTATAGTCTCCTGTAACACTTCACTATCCATTCAATAAAAAAAAGGCTTGCCTTACAATGCTAGAAAAATGCCCTTTTTTGTTGATGAGCCCCTACCCTTTTAATGTTCTCTGCATGCTGCTGTTCCTAGTTACAAAACCTCAAACTTCAAAGACTTTAGTGTTAAGGCATGTATTTAAAGATGTTATTAGGAATTAC